TATCGTTGCAGTTGGTAAATCGTACATGCCGCACAAGTCCTCGCTGACCACCTCCGCTTGGGTAGCCATCGTCATAGCTGGACTGTCGTTTGTGCTGCTGCTGGCGCTGCTGTATGCTTTCTGTCGCTGCCGGCGCACGCATGCGGCCAAGAAGCAGGCGGCGGTGGCCTCTGCGGCCACAGCCACGCCCAACAGCGGTGCCAAGGACTACGATGTGGATGCCACATGCGGCACTCTGGTGGCCGCAACTGGAGACACGCAACAGCAGGCGCCGCCGCCTCCTCCGCCCTACTATCCCACCGGGAGCCTGGACAGCAAGCAGCTGGATGGTGGCATGGAGCTAACATTAACAGCTCTCCACGATCCCGACGAGCAGCTAAACATGCAGCAAGGAGAGATGCACACACAGCAGCAACAGCAGCAACAGCAACAGCAGCAATATCAAACGCAATCCAAATGCCAGCAACAAGGACTCTACCAGCAGCAACAGCAACAGCAGCAGCAGCAACATACGAATGGCTATGGATATCATGTGGCAAGTGGGATTGGCATCGATGGCGACAGCTATCAAGTGCTGCCCTCCTCCGTCGCTGGACACCATGGCGAGTGTAAGTAGGCAGCTGGGCGTGGCGTGGCCGTTTGGCTCCGGCACGATGGCTTCTTCATTAAGCGTCGCAATTTCCTTCTCTCATTTTTTTTTCGAGGGTTCTCGCAGATTTATGGCGGCCATTTTGACGCCTCTTTGGGTCGAGGGGATGCAGGCAGATGCAGGCCGGAGCGTAATTGCATTTCATGTCAATCTAGTAGATTCCGCTACCTGCTCCTCCCGCTCCCGCACTCCCTCGCATCATGCAAATGTCGTTGCATAAGCAGCAGGCAATGCAAATTCCTTGGCAACCAAATGACATCCATCTGGCGACTATCCGATTCGCTGTGTCCACTCAGTGTCCGACATCCAGCAGCATCCAGCATCCGCTCTGTTCGCTGCATTTCGCCGTAATTCCAATTAAGTGAGAATTAAGCCGTTAGCCGTTTCTTTTGTGCTCTTAATTGGCTTTAAGCCGCCTCCTTCACATTTTCTGCGATTGCAACTCATAAAACTGTCCTTCGACAAAGTCGCCGACACTCAAGTGCCCGTCACTCGAGCCAGCTCCAGCTCCAGTTCCCGCTCCAGCTCCAGTTGCAGCGACAATTAAAAGACCGAAATAAAACTAGCAACAAACAACACTTGGCCAGCAAGCGCACTCAAATGAGCTCAAGTCCGGGCGAACTGCAAATCTTAAAGCTTAAGCAACTCACCAGTGACAGCTACTAACTAGACTCTCCTCCTCCCCCTCTCGCACTTCACTTCCTCTACTTGTATATAAAATAAAAATTAATGAAAATGAAAATGGAAAAAGAGAACGGGACTAAGCTGAAAATAATCTGACAAAGAGCTGGGCACAAGACACAATTCGAGCTATTTGACAACAGTTGCTCGGAAAGCAACTAAAAGATTTAAGATTTAAGCTTTGATAGAAGTAAAGCACTTAAGCTGCGTTTAATTTGAGCCAAGTTAGTGAGACGTAAGCGCTTAGGCTAGCCAAGTTTCAAGAGCCAACAATATGCTAGCTGGCAGAACTAAAAAGTGGAAAGTTTGATAGGATTTTTTAATGCCAATACACAAAATCGCGGAGTAGTTAACAGAGCTGATTAAGGGCGAGTTGTCTAAAATATATTTTATTTAATTTTTGTTTTTATACCCTGAACCCATTGAAAATGGGAAATCAGGGTATAATGGT